GTGGTTGGTAACTGCATTAACCTCGGGAGTCACATCAGGCAGAGACTATTTAAAAACGCACCCCTATAGCACCAGTTGTATTGTGGGTAATGCCTCTAGGAGGCGTAACCAATCACATCGGAGTGAGACGAAGAGCTCATCAGTTATTGGTCACACACTCTTTTCAGCATCGCTCCACTACCTATTTCCAATACTGCCTCCTTCTGTCCCTATTCCCCTCTTTTCCAATTTCCTTATGTCTGCCTTTTTTTTCTTATTTTATTTTATTTTTCTTTAACAAAAACAAAACAAAACAAAACAAAACAAAAAAACCCCACACCATATATTGAAACTTTTACTTCCTCAAAACTGCTTGCTGCCAAATGTATTTTTTTCTGATGTCACACATCTCAAGATGGACATGTTCTTCTTTTCGCTCATTTAGAGAAGGCGAATAACAGAAAGCCATTTGTTCATGAACTTACCATGGCTTTGATTACCCATCTTTTTTACTCTGTTACTACAGTCCTGGCTTCTGCCAAACATGGAGGCTAGAATCTGTATATGTGCCAGCACAATGACTCCTGTGTGTTCTATGGCAGTGAGGGTATATGGAGAGCAGCGTGTCTCAGCGAGGGCTTGTTGTTCTGCTAGTTGTTGGACAAGCTCGCACACAGGCTGGTGCGTAGGATAAGGACAACCGTGACGGCCATGTCAGGCTGTTGTCCTTTTCTTCTGCAATCTGATGTGTAGGAGGAAGTCAAACAGGCACAAGCACACACACATAGAAAGAAAGAAAATCACACACAAGAGCATACACCCAAGTAAAACAGACTGAGCTTAGTCAGCCTCCAACTTAAGAGAACGGAGGTGTACAAAGGGAAATGCCAGGTGATCTTTGACTTTAAAAAGCTTCACATCACTCAGGTTAAATGCACGCCTTATGTAATATTTGACAATGACAGTGGAGCATGCATAAACAACAACAACAACAACAACAATTATTACAGTAAAAGCACATGATTAAAAAACAGAAAAAAGGGAAAAATGGTTATGCATTTATGCGACATATACCCTCTATTGTGATGACCATAGCAAATTGTGGTTCACTCAACCCAGTTTGCTAATCTAGTAAAGCGGTGCGAATCATAATTATTGCTCTGTCAAACAGTCATGTGGAGCTTTACATCTGCTGCTGTCCAGACTTCCCATCAGAGCTGCCCACTGAAAGCTGAAGGTTTAAAGCAGCAGGCGAGCATTCAACATATAACAACGTGAGCAGCGCTTCTGTTTAACTGATGAGAGAAACTAAATCGTTTACCTCATCACAGATGTGGGAGAACCTGCAGCAACTGTGAAGTGCATGCAGACAGCTGTGATTAAGCTTCTGTAATAAACCCTGAAGTGTTTAGATGTACTTAAGTTTAACACTCTGGCTAAGACAGACTAAGGTAAAAACAGAGAAGCATGGTAGATTGTTTTTGTTTTTTTAAAGGAGTTAAAATCATAAGCAACATGCTTGAATAGAAAGACAGATGATGTTTCAACCATGACTCTAGTAGATTCATATTGGTGACACAAAGGAGCAAATACTCGAATCATAATAGGAAACTACTAAATTTGATTTCACTAACAGAATTCTAAAACATCCCACACACATTTTCAACCCTGCAACAAAAAAATTAATCTACAATTTTAACACAGTTAGGTAGCTGCGATGAGTGTACCACCAATTCATTAAATAACCAAATGTAAAACAAGATCACAATCCACTTCTGCTTGTGTGTTTAACAAAGGCAAGAAAATATTTTTAGGGTGTTTTCACACTTTAACCTCTTGGTTTCGTATCCTTTCACACTAAGACAAATCCAAGTGAACAAATGTCCCACAGAAGTACACTCGGTCTGCTTACTGGCCTGAAGTGTCTCAGAAATAAGCAACAAAAGTAAATACAGGAAGACTGTTTTTGATTAGTGGATAAACAGAAAATCTACATTTATTTTATGCTACAGTTTGTCTACATCTATAGAACTTTTCCAACAGTCAGATTGCTTTATGTTCAAGGATGCAACAGTTACTTCAAATATGTAACGTACGCCCGAGCTGGGTTAGATCGAGATGATGTGAGCGAACCCTTTTGGAGCTCAACTGGAACCAGACTGAGAGCACCTCCTCCAAAGGGCCATGATGCGGTTGTGCTGGTACCATTTTTCGCAAAAGAGCAAAATGAATCTGACTTCTAAATAGCAAAGGTGTGAAAGAACATTATGCTGTCAAAGTCAAGCTGCTTTCCCAATCCAAATGCACAGAGGAAAATAATAAAATGTCAAATCTAACCTTTTCTCCTACATACTAAGGATCTTCCCGCGGTTTGGAGCCATTCCATAATTTAGTGGATATAATCCAGAATGTGTGCAGTGGTGGCTAATTATCATTTGCACAGGTGAAATATTGGTCTTTTGGGACCAAGCAGAGAAACCTTTTCAGCTGATTAATGGCTTTACCTTCATGGAGGATAGAAAAAAAGTCAAACTTTCTATCTACCCCCTCTCTAAAAAAAAGAAACAACCCCTTCCAGATAAAAAGAGAAGCAGGTATCACATTTCAGGTAGTCAATAACACACAGTTGTTGTATCCATCTGATAGACAATACAAGATGTTAAACAAAAGGTCACAGTATCGTGCAGAATAATGTGCAGGTTCATGGCTGAAACTACTTCCCTTTAGGCAGCAAGTGTTAAGTTCCACATTAAAACCCTTCCCTGCTCTTTGTACAGAAAGATGACAGTGGATGAAACATATCACCTTGAGTAAGACTTAATACAGTAGTACTCAGGGCACAGATTACTGTGCAGCCTTCTTCCCCTACAATTAACCCAGCCACCCCACTGCCAGACACTCACACAGACATATCCCTTCTGTCTCCCTTTCTATCTCACTTCCTACATGCCTATATGTCTTTCATAATACTCCCTGCTTACGATCATCCTTTGACACTACCCTTGAAACACAATTCCTCAAAGGCACCATCAGCAAAGGTTTTTTTAAATACATCAGAGGGAGATCAAATTAGAGAAAGGGGCCGGGGTTGATGATTAATAGAAACAGACACGTGACAGTAGGAAAGCCAGACGAATGTGCTATAGAAGAGAAATAGGAGGGTGAGAGGAGGGAGAACAAGGTATTGTTTGCTCACAGTGGTCCAGGGAGGCAAACAGCTGCCAGGGGAATACACAGGGACTCAAAAGCACAGTAGAGGAAAGGGGAAGAAATGGAGACCCTGCTGCGTACCCCTGACCCTAGAAACTGGGTTAAGAGGTTAGAGACACAGAAAGAGGCTCAGATAACAGTCCCTCAACACCTCCGCTCACATACTCTGTCTAGCTCTCTCTCACACACTGATCTATAAATACTATGTGCTATCAGCACTGCTGTTTCACAGTGCCCTGCAACTGAGCCCTGCCCCACATTCAGATCATACTGCTCATGCTAGAAAATACAAACCACTGAAGTCCTAATAATAACTTATTTGGCGAAAAAGAAAGCTAAACTAACCATTGATCTTCTAGGCAAACAATGTCTTTGCAATGGTGACTCAAAAAGTATGCAAATATTTGCATTTCTCAGCTCGCAGTGATACTGTGCTTTCATCCCATCGGAATCTGCTTTGACCTTAAAAGGAAGGTCAGTCGTGAGAGAAATAAAGGCATGAAGTTATGGGGGGAATGGAGTGACAGCTGTGTCTTCAGTACTGCCTTTTGGGTAGATGTGTGTATGACTCCGGAAAATAAGGAGCGGGAGAGGGGAAACTACTGACTGCTACAGTCTCACATTCTGCCAGTACACTGAAAGAGCCCACGGCAATAGATAAATGGGTGGTGTGGGAATACCTGTGTGGATGCGTCTTGGTTTTCCCCCCGTTCAAAACAGGTGGGAAATACATGACAATGTAGTGGAGGGGAAAGTCTTTCAATGCATGTTTCAGTGTGCGCAGGTGCTTTTTTTTTACAATTATAATTTTTTTACAATTATAATTATCCTAACAGTCACTGATCAAACTGTTATATCATTACGCCAAAATGGATGTTTTTTTGTTGCTTTTTTTTTTAGCTAATTTGATTTAATAAATTAAAGTTTTCAAATTTCTGCTAGCAGAAAGCAGTAGAATATACAGTAATGTGAAAAAGTCTTAAGCCACTCCACATGTCTTTACATTTGGGTCCCAAGATATCACACTTTCTTGTATTTTTTTAGTGATCTCGAGCAAAAGTTCTCCAGCCTTTTCACCAATTTTCCATCCAGTTCTTGTACCCGATCTTTTTCACAGGAACGCTTTTTTTTTTGTTTGTTAAGCCACTAAAAACTGACCTATGAATCATTCAAGCATTAAAAAGGCACCTAACACAAAGGAGGAAATCATCCATCATGTTCATCGATGGGCTAGCCTCCCTAGAGCACTACATTACTGAAGCAGTTCGAGATCATCTTGACAGGAAATGGAAACAGAAGGCAGCCAAAGAAGAGCTTTGAATGTCTCAAGAATGCCTTGAGAACTATTGTTGAAGATTATTTAAAGAAATTAGAAGAAAGGCTGTGTTGAAGAATAAAGTTCATACCAAATGCTGACTTTCAAGATGTTATGTGTACATGTTTCAAATCGCTGCACGTAGTTCCCATCCTAGCAAAATATTAAGAAATGAGGGGTGACTCGAGACTTCTGCACAATACTGTATATCTGTGAAGTGGCACATAAACTGCACTGCTGCAAAGGTTAGATTAGTGCTAATGAACCTCTGTTTGAAAGGTGCAAAGCAAACCTCCTCTCCCTAAGCTGAATGCTAATTCAGTATAAAATCTTCCAATTATGTTTCTGTATGCGTATCACAGATGTCACATTAGCTGCATGCTCATGCTCAGCTACACACAGTTTTAGTACCTGTGGTACCGAGATGTGGTTTGACTGCGTGTGTGTGTGTGCATAAGCTTGTTCTGTGTGTACACGTGCGCTCTTAGAGACTCACCAGTGAGGTTGGTGCGTGCACTGTAGGATCCCAGGTACCGCCCGTCTGTATTGGGTGTGTAACACTCAAACAGACCTTGGTCCTTGGCCTGCACTTTGGTGATGTGCAGCACAGCTGAGTCACTGCTCAGCTTCTCCACAAAGATCTCCCCACTAGTCACCCTCTGGGAATATACGGCATAGGCATAGTTTTTCGTAGCTGTGCTCACAATGCGAATCTCCCGGTCTGGTACTGAAGGGAGGTACATGGACCACTCGAAGTTCTGCTCCGTCCCCTCTTTGTAGCCCGTCACATTGCACCAGATGGTCACGTGTGAGCCTTCAGTCCGTACGAGCGGCCCACTCTGCACCGTTACCACTCGCTGAGCCACAGCGACACCGGCTAGAGATGGAGAGGTAGTGGGAGCAAGGGAGGAGTGGACAGGGTGAAGGCAGGGAGAGAGGAAAGAGAGAGCATAGGTTACAAAACTGCACTTTAAATATTTAGCATTAACAGAGTTTATGCCCCCCACATCTCCCAGGAATACAGAAACAGTGTGACATGTGCAACTAAGCATTCACGGGTGTGCTTACCAAGGTCGAGGTGTGCACACAGACTCACCCGAACGAGTTCTGAACACCAGTAACCACTTAGAAAAACGAAAAAGAAAAATCACAGTAGCTCACAGCTATAATCTAATCACGCTCACGGCAATCACACACATTCGCATGTTAACCCTTCCCCACAAGGACACCACCGCAGCTGTACTACACTGTGGTGAGAAGCAGCCATCTGGGAGTCAGGACGGAGGTCAGCATGAGCTGGTAAAATGCGTGTCAAGCTGTACAGACTACAGCTGTGGTTGAAACGGATAATAAACACTGGTTGGCTTGATGCATCCCTAATCTTTAGTCCACATCACGAGTAGAGGTGTGAGCAGACAAAGGATTAGAATCAAACCCATAAATCAGCTGGGTTTATATGATCAAACAAATTTATTATGAACAACATATTGGTATCCAATATGTTGTTCATAATAAATTTAGCCACACACAGTGGTTGCAAGAAATTTTAAGACAGGAACGCCAAATAAACTATTTAGAAAATAGTTGTTGTTATATTTAGTAGTTCTTCCACCAGAAAGCACCAATAGAAATAAAGCTGAAAAAGTAATTCTCACTCACTCACTAGGGGGCGGGGATTATAACTTGGTGTTTTATGTTTATGTACAATGCTGCTCCAGTCTTTAAACTCTCTGTGAGTAACTAAGCATTTTATATCCTGCAAAATATATACGTGGCCATTAACATTTTCACTGACATTAATTAAGTTTCATAAAGTTATATTATTTACGCACATTAACATTGAAATGTCTGAGGGCAAATCATACAGATTTATCCGGTACCAACATTGTTCACCATGCTATTCTACTAGTCTGTCATTTGCTAAGAAGGTAGCTTTAAAACATCTCCCTCCTGGCTACACACTGCTCTCATTATAAACAAAAATAATTAGTGAACTAAACCATCACAGGGGACTGCAACAAACTGCGAGCAAACCAAGCCCTTGTCAAGACCGATTATTATCACTCTTTGTAGCCTATATTTAGGCGTTCAGCATATGTGAAGTTTGCCTTAACTCCTTATACACCCACACGCACACACTCACACACACACACACACACACACACACAAAACCACACATATCAAACACACACACAGAGAACATTCGCCATTCAGGGAACAACTACAAACATCCCTCTCATTGGGGCCAGAGACAACAGAGCATTTACACATACCCCCAAATCCAGACAGAGTGACAAGTACGCTGTTTCCTGTCTGCACAAGCAACTGGGGATTGCAGCTGTGTTTTCGTGTGTGGGTGCGTGTGTGTGTGTGTGTGCATGTAAGAAAGAACGTCTGTAAGAGGCTGTGTCTGTAGGCACAATGCTCAGCATTAATAATTCACTAGAACAGCTTTTTAACTTTAACATCCTCACTCTTACCATAGTAACTTTCTCTCACACTTGCACTACACCCGTCCTTTCATTCACTGTGAGCGCAGGTCCATTAACACCCATGTTTGCCTAACCAAGGTCAATCTTGTAGAAAAACAAAGGCCCTTTTGCAAATCGTGCTCGCAGAGTCCGCAAAACGTAGATGAACGGGAGGAAAAGTTACGATGATTTTGCTGTAGGAGAGTACTTCCAATAGAGTCGGAGCAAGCATCGTTATCTAGATGAGGGGCTTGTGTGTCGTTTTGTTTTCCTTGCTTCCTGAGATTCCTGAACACCTTCCACAAATGAACAAGTTTTACAAATCTATTATTGTGAGTCCCTCACCTTAGTACTCTATGAAATCAGTTAGACTGAAGTGAAAACTGATTAAAATAATCATTCCTCAAGGCAAGGATTTCAAAATTGTACGCCCTCATAATTATGAAAGCAGCCACTGTAGATAGGTTGACCTTTTCTTCAAAGAGAAATGAAAAACAAAACGCAAAAAAACTCAAGTTAAATTGTTCAAACAGCACAATTATGTTGTGATATTATTGTGTTACTATAGAAACAAGATAAAAGTTCGGAATCTCATTGTAGCTTCCGGTAAGGTCACCAAGCCTTGCTACGTTCCTGTGCGAATATTATAGAAATACTATACAAGACTTGAAATGACAAAGTAGTGTTCCAATTCCACTCTTAATAATGCTGCACTCGTAAGCAGTGTGTGTGGGGGTCATAATCATATTGACATTTCGAATGCGGTCTTGAGTCATTTTTCATAACGCATCGACAATGCTTTATTTACACATTCAATCAATAACACACAACCCATTTAGGCAAGTCATCTTTTGTTTGAACATGGAAATGGAAAGGAATTCAAAAAAATAAAAAGTCACTAAGCAAAATATTTATCCCCGGATTTCTGTGGAGCCCCCCTGGGGGTCATGTGGTAGAGGAAAAATAATTAGAAGAGGATCCACAGAAATGGATTAATAAACCGCGCACACCAGTCAGAGAGGGAATTCAACATGTTTTCATTTATTATTTATTATATTTTCGTTAATAAACTTGCATACTTGTTTATCCAATTTGTATGCAATCTGTGCCGTCAGCTTTTTTCTGCTTATCTGCCAGCTTTGCACATCTTTTTGGACCTGCACATACTGCTGTACCACACTGCAATGAATCATAACCTGTTAAAAATTTGGCAACTGACTTTTACTTGATATAAAAATGTTTCTACAGAGAGAAAGCATTAAGCACTCAAGACAGAACATCTACAATGAAATGTGCTGGCAAAATCTGTCTGACCACAGCATGGAATGTAGTATGTAAGAGCAGGAGCCATCAGTAATGACTCAGACCTTGGTTCCCCCAGTGTTTCTTTGCTGTGATGTCAGTGTGCTAATCTGGCGGCACCCGGTCTACCCAAATCCAAGTCTGTACTGCTGCAATAGTGCTCCTCACGCTGCAGCTTCTCACCCAGAACTGCTGGAAACATATTACTCATACATCCAGAAAAAGAAGGAGGAAAAAAAAAAACAAAAAAAAAAAACATACGACTCATACTGTGTTGGTGCACTAAGAGCTTTCCTTCACTTGTCTCCTGTCATCCTCATGAAACAAGCTTCTCCTCATTTCTGATTACTCTCACTCCCTTCCTCCATGTTTCACCAATCATCAATCCTCCCCTTCGTCCTGCCCCTGCAGTCTCTCTTTCTCTGGATATTCCTGTCTCTTTTCTGTGCCTCACGCTTCTCTGCATCTTTTCAAGCAGGATTTAAGCAGCTCTGTGAAACTTCAAAGTGTCCATCGCTCTGCAGGCTGTTTAGAAAGGATGACAATGACAAACCAAACCCTGCAGACCTTCAACTGATCGCTCTATTCCACCACCCTTCCACAGTAATCCTGAGGCCCCCCCCCATCTCCCAACTTTTTCACCTCTGGCTGCGCTGCCTTGATCTCCAAGTGTCCATATTTGTTCAACAAGGCCTCAGATATTCTATTATTAACGCTCGTCTCCATCTCTGCATACCGCAGATGTCCTGCTTTGCTACCTTTTTCCTTCTCTGGTATTCCTTTCCTGTATCTCATACCTCATCATAGCTGGCCCATTGCTTCCCACACAACTTTGGTGCAAAAACATGTGTCCCACGTCAGGTGATGAAGAATGACCACAAGCAAGCTGACCTTCCTGTTGATCGGTTGGAGGATATAGCAAATGGGAGCAAAAAATAGTTACACTCTATGAACCCTCCTCTAGTCCCAAAACACACACACACACACACACACACACACACACACACACACACACACAGCAACACACACACACCACACATATCAAACACACACACACACACACACACACAAACACACACACACACACACACACACACACATACACACACACACACACATACACACACACAGAGAGAGAGAGAGAGAGAGAGAGAGAGAGAAAGCTGCAAAGAGGATTAAGCTAAGAAGAAGGGGGGGTTAAACACTAATCCAATCATTCGTGGCCAGTGTCTTATTCTCAGCGGAAACAGCAGTGAGGCCACTCGCATTCATTCATACCTACACCTCACATCATCACTCTTCTATGACACATGATAATTATACACCTTGAAAGGTGTATAATAAAAAACACTGTAGGGCGTAAGTAATATAGAGGGCATTTTCACAGCGGTGCAAACACATGCTAATGTAGAGAACAGAGCTGTCCATCAATGACTCTCACTTTGCTTCAGTTTTTAATTACATACCCACACGTGTAAATACAGATTATATTCTATATGTGCACACAGGGACGCCCATAAAAAGTTTAAGCAACCTAACGAGGATCAGCCTAATGTAGTTCCTTCATCCCAACCGCAGTCAGGCTGTACAATACCCACACAGTATAAATACTGTTTAAAAATGATGTATATTATTATCACTTCCACTGTACTTTACGTATATATCAAAAAGAAAAATCTTGGTGTATTTTACTGTATATAGTAACCATCTGCATCTCTAATTCACCTGTTCTTCCCTTTTGCTGCTGTAACAAGTGAATTTCCCCAGTGTGGGACTGAATAAAGTATGTCTCTGTTTATGATATAAAGGTGAGGCGTCAGCCTTGCTTTACTAATATAATATATGAGGTTAAATTACTGTGAATTCGTAACACTTGACTGATCTAATACAAAAAAAATAGATTAGACTCCTTGTAAATGCATTTATTCAATTGCCTTATTCTGAGTGAATAGATACTATCAGATTTTCTCAGTGAGAATAAAACCTCTGGCTTTTTCACATCAGAGGTTTTTATATTTCTATGTTTGTTTTGTTAAGAGTTTTACTTCTCTCGCTTGAAGCAGGTTGTTTCTAAAGTGGAAAAAGGTGGTCACAACTCCGAACA